TCGACAAATCGACACACATTATATTTTTGTCGACTTTAAAGCTGCTTTTGATTGCACGAAGGGAAACGACGCCATGTATAAATTTGGGATCCCCGCAAAACTAATACGGATGTATAGAGTGATGTTGAGCACAACCTTTTGCTCCAAATTATGAACTCAACACTTGCCAACCCTGCTGAGGTTTATTTAAATTGATTTATTTTGGAACGAATTTCCGATATCCCTTGTCAAGTTTGGTTTGCAGACAAACCGGTTTCGGCATTGTGCCATTTTCAGTGTCATTTTTCGTTCTCTTAAATTCGTAGAGCCGATGAATACGAGCCTTAGTGCTGCTTCGTGCATTCCGGTCGACAGTTAACCAACCGAAAGACTAAGCGAATGTGTTCTTATGAAAGCTTCCACACAAACCGGCAGCTAGGAGCCATTCGGCTGGCGTATTACACCCGGGTTAATTTTGGCAAATCCGGTGCCGGGTAACGCCGCAGATTTAAGCTGTTTCAAAAGCTTTCATAAGAAATATACGAAAATGTACTTCATTTTGTATTTAAAGGACGTACATACATATATTGGTACATTAGAGTGGTCCAAGTTTTGTATGGAGAAAAAATGGCATCGTAGAAAACGGAGCACCCCCTCAGTTCTTTCCTTTTGGTATTTGTAACATCTATACTTCACTTTCAACTTTCAACGGCTCTTATTCGAGGACATCGGTCTTATGACGCGGATTGCGTGAAAGGCTAGAGTCACCGTCAGCGAACTTATGGGGAATTATCAATGTGGCTTAGAACTGTAAAATCCAATACAAACCCTAGCCTTTCAATACCACAGTTTTTCAGCTATTAAGATATTCATTTAGGGAAGGAATTCAGATTAAAGCTTTGCGTACCAAAAAAAGAAAGTTCACCGTACATCTTCGAATCTGAAGGCAAGGCAATTTTGAAAAAAAAAAATTTTTCCGTCATATCTTCGGTACTTACAGTAGGATCTCGAAGTATGATATATGGATGTTCTTGTCTCGAGGAGAAACATTTTTTTGTGCCAAAGTACATTGACTTCAAATACCCGCTCTAGTACTTACATACCAACCAGATCTCATTTCTTATCACTCTAACGTACCACCCTAATATCAGCTGCAATAAAGCTGGCCAAAAATCAATAAACTTTTGCTACGGAAGTATTTCGCTTATTCCAGAAGAACTATTTAAAAAAAAACGGATTGCCGAATTTAGTTACCACTGAAAAATGTAAAGACGATGAAAATTAAAAATTTCTCAGTTAAGTCCTTAAATAACTAATTAACCCAATTTTCAAAAGCCATTGATCCGTAGCGAATATTAAGAAAAAATTACATTCATTAAACCAAAAAATATGACAACAGTATGACAAGTGTCATACTCACCATACATATTCACTGGCCGACTACTTGTGTGTTCCATGATTTTTGTATTTTTTTCGAAACAAATACCCTGGTATAGAACAAGCGAAAAAAACGAGCAAAGAAAGACGCACACACCAAAATTTCGAATCGTCAAAGGCAGCTAAACAATCAAATAATGAACAACAATTGGCAATTGTTTAGGACACGTTTGCCAAGCATTTCTCGTTTCATAACAAACCGATCGAAATGTGGAGAGAGCGAGTGGGAACATGATTTGGCCCACATTGTTATAAAGGAAAAATACTGCTTTGTCAACAGATAGACAAGCCAACCCCCCTTTCAATCAGTAGACGTACACTGCCTGAGCAAAGCGACCCAACTAACCAATACAAGACACTTCAATAAAAGTAGGATAGATAGTGTTGGTCGATAATATGAAAATAATTTTACCAAAATGCTATAGTTGCTGGTTAATTGTGTGTACTGAAATATGGTTTTTTTTTTTTGTGAAAAGTTAACTGATGTACAACAATGGCCTAAATAGGTGCTTGTGCGTGTGAAGACAATTACAATAAGCTAAATACTTAGGCAGCTCTCACTCTCTTTCTTGTATTGTATGTTGAGCAGGAGGCGGATGCGGAGAAAGATGCGCAAAAACAATATGACGACCACCAACGTGTATGGCGTTTGATCTTGCCGACTGGCGAGTAGAGAATACAGGAAAGAAATATTTGTTAGTATATTTTTTACTTATGTAGTTACAGGTATTTGCGCACACAAATGTATGAGTTTCCATATTATTTAGATTGCCTTTTTGTGAGTAGGCGGTAATTGAAGTCGAAATAGAGCTGATTATCAGCGAATATCTGAGTTAGCACTTCCTTATTTCACACGACCCCTCGAACACGTACGACTAGTAGGACGCTGCAGACGGCACAAAACACTGCACTTCGGACAGCGACGGGATGTCTTCTGATGTCGTCAGAACATCACCACGAGGCGAAAATGCTCTCCATAAAGGAGTATAACACAATGCTCTGCAAGCAATTCCTAGTAGCAGGGAGCCACAGACGTGGACACCCGAACAGACATTTGCTTGTTGTAGAGCCCTCACCAAGGCAAGTCAGAAGACATCTATATGAACTGACGGACGAAGAAGCAACCTCTGGACCCGTCAGCTTACCGACAGGCCGTGAGCGGCATTCACAGGAAGTAAGTCTCGAGTTATGCAGACTTCAGACCTGTGAATGCCGTTCTGCGCACACAATCACCTGACATCGACCTGACATAGACGGAGTTTCATCTGCCTCGGGCGACTAGAACCACAATAGCCCAACTTCGCTCTGGCTACTGCAGCAGGTTAAACTCATACCTGGGGAGATTAGATGCAGATGTACCAAATGAGTGTCCGGCATGCGAAGAGATACTCCCCGACTCGAAACTTCTCTTCGTATGCCCAGAAAACCCAACACAGCTAACGCCTTTGTCCCTGTGGACCGACCTCATTGGCCTAATACTGTCGCCAATTGAGCGCAGGAGCTTACGTCGGCGCATAGCCGAATGGATAGGCACTTTATCGAATAGTGGGGACGTCATTGAAACTCTGGTCCTTATAAAACAAAGTTGGAATTCATGAAAAAATGCTGGAGTATTTTTAATAGAGTCTGCAATACGTATATCCGGTAGTCATCCTGTTTGCCGTATATCCGGCCCAAATTTACCATTACACCGGATACAGGATATTGAGTAACTTCCCTGGTATCCGGTCGGCCGCACAGTTGCTCAAAATTACTTTAAGTTAAAGGATATTTGGTAGGAAAGCGTTCCATTAGTAAAATGATTAAACTTGAGACCTTTTGAGTGAAAACAATGACATTTTGGAATCGGTAGATAAATATTAGCCAGCTTTGACAAAGGCTTGGCCTTGGGCTTTTTTATTGTAATAGTAGCTGCCATCGATATCAATGAGGTACAACCACATTTTTCGTTAAACGACCAGTACTCAAACATAGCGAACAGAGAAGTGGCAAATCGATGACGGCTAGTGGAAGCTTCTTTTAAATCATACTGTAAAAACAGCTTTGGTTATGACCCAAATTAAATTTAATTTTTAGTTGAGTAGGATGGGCATGGTTTGGTAATACATTTATTTTGGTGACAACGAGGCAATGGACTTGTTATCCGTCCGCCAGATTTTCGGTCACGCAGCCCGCCGGATATTCGGTATCCGCTATCCGACCAAAACGCTACCCGTTACATCTCTAGTCTGCAGTCAGCTCAAGATAGATCTAGTTTCGACCTCCGATTATCGCAACATACGCGGAAACGAGGCCGCTAAATTCAATCGAGGGTTGGGTTAGCCTATTTTGGTTTATACGGGGATCGCACAAAGAACATTAGTCGGCACTCACTCGTTGTTACGAAGAAAGTTGAGGCTTAGGATTACACTTTGCATCAAATGCATTTTTTTCGAGTTCTAACAATTTCCTAGTCATTTTCTTCAACTGAGTTGCGATCATCCAAAAACTGGATAATAGCACAATTGATGTTATAGTGCACCTTTGGAGTTACCTTCGTAACATGCCATGCATTCTTCGCCTTGCATCAGTCCCGCATAACCTGTTTGAATCATTTTCTGTAGGGCGGTGTTCTGTTAAAGACCAAACTAGAATCTTCCAAGTATAAAAAATCATTTTTACACGAATAACACTATGCTAGAATTTTATGACAATTTAAACCAGCCCGGACTTTGCTGATATTTTCTGAAAGTATACATATCCAGTAATAAAACACTCGATAGATTTGCAAAAGTTAGCTTGTGTTTTTACTTTGTGTAAAGTTTTCATGTCCCGGCCTAAGTACTTTTTAAAAAAGTGGAAATATTGGTTAAAATAAATGTCTGAGCGAAATTAAAGGTTAAGGCATAAATAGTAAAATTTCATGGAAAATATTTTCGTAGAACATTTTAACCCATTAGCTCCCGCATGGAAAGGTCGTTTTGACCCTTACTTCAAGACCCTGCGCAAAAAGCAAATTTGAAAGTTCGTGAGAGGATTGATATATTTATTCTAGAAAATTATTCTTTGGAAAATTTTACTAGGAGTCTTCTCCGGCAAAAGCTTCATGCCAACAACGTAAAAATCTCTAAAAACTAAAATAAGGAAAATTAAATAAAATACTAAAAATAAAATTTATTTCCGAAACTGATTTTATTAAATACTTAAGAATTTCTTTACCAAACAACGATTTATTTATTCATTATGGCTATGATGCCAGATATCTTAAACTAAATATAGAGATACATAGCTAAAATTTAACTTAAAATTAAAACGAACAGCAACAAATACAGTATTCAGTCTTGAACTCTACACGAACAAGTTTTTACATTTTATTTCTCTACAATATTAAACTCAAAACCTAAATAAGAATCATTGGGAACTTAAACGCTAAGAGGCACCGCTTTATTTTAACTAGTCAGCTGGATGTGTTGTCTTTCACTTTTAATCTATACTAAAGTAGTTTTCTTTAAGTCAGAGCATATAAATTTACAGATTTTACAGTTTTATCATTATGATTCCAAACAAAAACCTCAAACAGGTAAAAATTTCTACCCTGTCGATCTCTAAAATCCAAAATATGGGTAGGCCGCGGCGGCGCCAGCAGCCGACTTGTGTTCGCCCATACCCTGTGAGTAGCCACCCATGTGATTTGCGCCGGACGGGAAGAACGAGCCAGGGAAGTTGTAGGAGTCCCATGAGGACATGGCTGGATGATGCGAGCCCGAAGCAGCGGCCGAAGCGAATTGCGAGCGCAGCTGCTCAGCTGAAGTGGCAGTCGTGAAGCTATTGCTAGCGCCCAAACCATAAGCCGACGCAGAAGAGGCATAAGCAGCTGACGAGGTTGACGAGGCAGCCGTGGTAGCTGAGGAGCTGCTGTTGACCGCTGTCGCGGCAGCTGTGGTGGTTGTGGTTGCTGCTGCCGATGACATGCCATAGCTAGTATTAGCGTTGGTGAAGTTGTTACCGCTGCCAATATTATTGTTGCTGTTGCCAGCACTGACGTTACCAACATTTGCGCCAGCCTGATGCACTGGGCTCAACGAAGCCGAACTTGTGCTGCTTGTCGGTGACATGGAAGCCACTGAGCCGCTTGAGTGACCATAGTTCTGATGTGGCTCGAAAACATTTGAAGCTGAAGCGGCAGCTACGGCGGCGACTTGTGTAGCGCTACTGCCGAACGTATTCCAAGCCTGGCTATACAAACCCATCTGATGTGAATGATTGTGTGACAACGCTGCGGCTGAGGCTGACATTGAGTGGNCGCAGCTGCTCAGCTGAAGTGGCAGTCGTGAAGCTATTGCTAGCGCCCAAGCCATAAGCCGACGCAGAAGAGGCATAAGCAGCTGACGAGGCAGCCGTGGTAGCTGAGGAGCTGCTGTTGACCGCTGTCGCGGCAGCTGTGGTGGTTGTGGTTGCTGCTGCCGATGACATGCTATAGCTAGTATTAGAGTTGGTGAAGTTGTTGCCGCTGCTAATGTTATTGTTGCTATTGCCAGCACTGACGTTACCAACATTTGCGCCAGCCTGATGCACTGGACTCAAAGAAGCCGAACTTGTGCTGCTTGTCGGTGACATGGAAGCCACTGAGCCGCTTGATTGACCATAGTTCTGATGTGGCTCGAAAACATTTGAAGCTGAAGCGGCAGCTACGGCGGCGGCTTGTGTGGCGCTACTGCCAAAAGTATTCCAAGCCTGGCTATACAAACCCATCTGATGTGAATGATTGTGTGACAACGCTGCGGCTGAGGCTGACATTGAGTGTGCAGCGGCAGCTGCAGCAGCGGCGGCGCTTGAATGATGATGATGATGGTGATGTGAATGGTACTGCGAAGCAACGGCAGCAGCGCTAGCGAAACCCGCCGAAGCGAGACCACTCGAAGCGGCAGCGCCAAAGCCCGACACTTGTTGTGTGGTATTGAGTTGCTTGCGTAAGCGTGCGCGCCTATTTGAGAACCAAACTTGAACGCGTGCCTCAGTCAAGCCGGTGCTCTGTGCCAACTCCTCACGTGTGTAGACATCTGGGTATTGTGTGCGCGCGAATATGCGCTCCAAAGCATCGATTTGATCATTCGAGAAGGTGGTGCGTGAGCGACGCTGCTTGCGTTTTAATTGTACGCCCGGCTCCGCATCGTCCTCGCTGTCATCGCCGGAACCATTTGACAGACCGCCTGCGCCCAAAATGCCATCGATGGAGTGCGCCGAGCTGCCCGACTCAGAGCGCGCGCCACCACGCAGCAAACGACTGATAGAACTAACTGATGGCGCGGTGTTTTTGTCGCACATGCCAGACTCGATGAGTTTAGCGCGTATTTCCCAGCTGAAAATGCCCGGACTGGCATTTTTCATCTCCTCAATTTTGGACTCAATATCGGGAGTGGCGACGCGTGGTTTGCTGCCGCCAATTACACCCGGACGTATGGAGCCGGTTTCCTGGTAACGATTTAGTATCTTCGAAACGCAGCCATGCGAAACGCGCAGCTGGCGAGAGATGACGCAAGGACGTACGCCGGCAGCGGCCATTTCGACAATCTGGCGGCGAATGTGATTGGGTAGTGGGCGCCCGTTGATGAAGACGCCGCCGAGTTGATTAACGCGTCCTTGACCTGCAAAACGAGGAAAATTAGTTTCGGTGGGAATANTGCGAAACGCGCAGCTGGCGAGAGATGACGCAAGGACGTACGCCGGCAGCCGCCATTTCGACAATCTGGCGGCGAATGTGATTGGGTAGTGGGCGTCCGTTGATGAAGACGCCGCCGAGTTGATTAACGCGTCCTTGACCTGCAAAACGAGGAAAATTAGTTTCGGTGGGAATATTTTGAGTTATAAGAGGAAATGAAATTTTGTGTAAAAGCCGGCTTGTGAGTAGAGGTAATTTGTTGTTACTGATTTGTGTTGTATTCAATTGGCTGGTCGGCGCTGATCAAAGCGCGCGCGCATTGCCATTACTTGCATTTATGTCAACTAATAATAAATCACACAATGCGCATATGGACTTGCGCAAGGCGCGCGGTCATCGGACAGATGATTGATCGCTGTTTTAGGATAATAGACTTGGAAGCCGCGCAGACAATGGAATACCTATTTGCATACGAAGCGCTTTGTGTGTGGGAACTATTTTTTTAAAATATGCGATGGTGCAAACAATGGCGCTTCAAAAATTCCTTTAAGGAATAAGTAGCTATGAGAAATTAAGCTTATTGCTTGCTGAAAATACTTATTAAAATCTCTTTCAAATCAACTCAACGCAACCCAATTCAATTGTACAAACTCAATTAGCTTCAAACTAGTGCACATCTTGGGATTATGCGGCAACTATTGTCAAGACAAAGCGCATGCCCAGACACACTGTCTCGGTTTGTTTTCTTTGCCGTTTTTATGATTTTATTATTACTTTGTTGGCCATTTGAAAGAGGCTTGGGGAAGCCAAACAAAAATTGTAATTCACATTTATGCCATTGTGCTTGAGTAGGATTAGCTTAAGCGCACTTGAATGTGTGCGTGTGTTTGTGCTGCAGATGAGATCAGTTCGCACGATCGCATTCAAATGCTGCGATGAATGCAAATTTTACATTGTAAAATAATAATATTTGAATAATTTGTTAGAGACACAAAGGCGGCTAAGACTACAACAAAAGCGGCGAGCGTACAGAAACTGGAAAAAAATATTAACAAATGCCAATTGCTGTGGTTATTGCGCGCGCGCAAGTGAAATTTCGTATAGAGTTGTTTATGCAACGTGCCAGAAAAGGCATGGCAAACATGCGCGCACAAACAAACATATCAATATACATACGTACATAACATAAAAAAGGCGACTTTAAATTGCATTTGAATATAGAAATTATGCAGCAGAGTGAAATCAAACGAAAACGAAATGGAAATGGAAATTACTTAAACCGACAGGCAAGATCTGAAAGCATTTAGCCAGCTGTGAGGCTGTGCGGCTGTGAGTTAATAACAATAAAAAAAAAAACCTGTCGAAAAAAATATAAAAATAAAGTACGAAGAACGCGCGCAGCGGCAGATGCAGTGATCATGTCAGAGGATCACTCAAACTAACTGAGCGCCTGCCAACGGCTGAGGAACTGACGCGTGAAGAAGGAAGCCCGCTTGCAAGGTGGGTCTAATAACTCAAGCGCGGCTTGGCAGACAGGCAGGCAAGCAAGTGGCTGGCTGTGTCTGCACCTCACTAAGCGCTTCGCTTGCATCCATAAGCAGCACAAGCAAATGTAACTAATAGGCCAGCCTCTCAACAAAATACAGACGCAGTCATCAGCCATGGCCGCCGCCAACACCGCCACTTGAGCAGCTCAAAAATTAAAGCAAAGCGTCGGAATATTTTGTTCTTTCACACTTCACTCCAGCTGTGCGAGCTAATAAAATTCCTTTAGCAGAGGAGCTACGAGAAAAAAGTAAAAAAATAAAAAATCAGAGAACGCAGAGAATCCAAAGAAGGCAACAAAAGCGGCAAAAATATTAATATAGCAGCAAAATATTAAATAAAAAATGTTAAGCGAAAGCAATGCGGAAAAATATGTTTAAGCGCATGCGCACACTGCCTTGTACGCCGTTAAGAACATGTTGCCACCAGAGGCTCCAACAGCAGCCCGATGACACCGCGCGCTCACCCAGCACTCTGCAGCCGACTGGCTAGCAAGCTGACGGTGTTGATGAACGTGCTGCCACCACAGCCAACAGATCAGCGAAGCAGAAAAGGCCAGGCCACCAAAGGGTGTAGGAGATCATACATTGGAAGTGGCACTGATGGCGGCGGCAAAAGAGCGCGCGATCTGAAGATCAAAGACAATGCCGACGCGCCAAAACGTCTGCGTTGTACGCGCAAAGAACAACGTACGAAATACAAAAAAAAAAAAAACAACAAACAAACGCGCATGCTAAAGCTCAAGAAAGCTACAAACAAAGGGAAGCAGAAAGGAGGCTTGCGAGGCTGAAGCTGACAGCGCGGCGTTGATGGTGCACGGAGGCACAGCAGCCGTATGGCACAGCTGTGTTTTTGAAGCGCGCGCGCAACTGTGCTGTAGTCGTAACTACTTCTTTTTCCTTTTCTATTCTTCCTTTGCTCTTCTTGGTACGCTACGCTGCTTTGACTGCTGCTGCTGTTGCTGCTTTTGTTGGTTGTTGTTGCTATTGCTGCGATCACAATCAATAAGCCACAAAGCTGATCATGATTATTGGAATTTTAGTTGGTTGCTTCGTTGCGCTCGACAAGCGACGCGCTCCCACCGCGCACCGTCCGTTAGTTAAGGAAGCGGTGAAATAAAACCTGGCCGACTGGATGACTTACTAGACGGACTGACTGACGAGCATTGCTGCCTGACAGGTATCTACATACAATTTGAGCTGGAGGCGAACGCTTGCCTTGCTGTTTGTTGTGCTGCTGCTTGGAAACTGAATTGGAGCGCATTTGCTGAGTTTGATTTCTTTTTACTTACATAAATATTTCTTTGCTATGAAATTTTCGTTTTCTTTAAATGAAAATCAAAGATTTATAAGCTGCTTGCCCGCCGTTGTTATAGAAAATTTACCTTCTTGAAAGCTATGTAGATGCAATGACTAGACGAAATTTTGCCAAAGTCAATGGGCAAAGACTTTTTTGCTTTCTGTTGTTTTTTGTTTCTGTTACGTACATACATTCACTTGTACGCAATGAGTTGTGAAATAATAAAGAAAATTAGTTAAAAATTGTTTATAATTGGGAAATGATGTTCACACCAGACCGTTTGGCGGCATTGCAGTGGCGCGCATGCGCGTATACTTTGATAGATAGAGATAGAGGGAAAGGAAGAAAAAGTAATCTGAAGTTGAGCATTGTACCTGTGAGAAATATATAGGCATGTGTAGTTGAAAACACTGTTTTCTCAATGTTTTAAAATTGTAAAAAAAAAAAATTTGTTTGAAAAATTTCGAATTTTTAAAATGATTTTTTTTCGAAATTTTGAATAATATATTTAGCAAACTTTTAATGTGATTAGTTATAATTAGTTATAAATCGGATTTGAAAGTCCCAAAATTTCCATACAAAACTTAAGAAGTTTATTCTTTGCTAAAATAATTTTTAGCATAGATACAACTATCTTACTGAAAAAAAAAATATCTATAAAAAATTTGGTATTATTTTTTTGTAACTGTATTTTATTTAAAAACTTAGGGCATTCACAAGGTGTCATTACGAATCATATTGCATTAAAACCATACATTTTATAACAGTTAGAAATATTTAATACGATTCGAGATAGCCACAAAATATTTTTAACCATTTTCAAATTTAAATTACTACGATAATATGACAATCTTGAAAGTTTGTGAGTCAGACTCATTTTCAACAAAACGCAAATTTTTAATACTAATTTCAAATTAGAAAAAAAATTTACAAAAATTTTAAAAGTTTTAATTTTACGTGAAATAAATGCAATATTGAGGTTTTAAGTAGGTACAAAAAACAAGTCTAATTAATTTTTTGTAGCTAAAATTTAAATAGAATTCTACATTTCGAAAATAATTTGGCAATTTTTCCAGAAATGTTTCAGTTTCTGATTTTTTTCTGAAATTTTAAAACTTTAATTTTACAAAAATCCAACTGATGATGTCTTATGAATCCCCTAAATGCAATATAGATGATTTAGGCACCAAAAAACATAGTTTAACAATTTTGAAAAAATTAAATTTAAACATTTATATTTTTTTTATTTATAGCTAAAATTTAAGTAGAATCCGACATTTCCAAAAAATTTTGCTAATGTTTCCACCAATTTTTGGAAAATTTTCTTAGAAAGTTATCTCGTTCTGTTTCAACGTTAGTTAATTTGTTAATAATGAACCTTACATTTTATTGAGACTAAAAAATAAAAATTTGCATAAACTAGTTTCTTTGTTTATTCAATTCGTCTAATCAAAATTGGTCCAGATCATATAGCAGACTCGACAACAGCCGAAGCCAAGCACTACACGACATACATTTCTGGGAAGCAAAGTAGTGTTTAGCATTAACACTAGCAAGCATAAGATACCGGACTGATTTATGCCAAAGGTAAGAGGAGCGGGTCTCCAGTTAAAGCAAAGCACGAAATACCTCAGAGTAATGTTGTATACAAAATTTTCATGGCAGCTAACTGGGAGGAAATGTCGAAGAAAGCCTCGGCTGTGCTCAAATCGTATGAATGCAAAAAGATACGGGGTTGCATTTATGGTATCTTACTGATAGGGAACTTTTATTAGCTATTTCTAGACGTAAGTCACCGGGCTGATATTATACCAAGGGTTACGAGTGTCTGGTGCACAGCAATGAAGAAGAACAGAGGCACATACCGGCATCTTTCGCCAGTGGAACTGATGGGCAATGGTACATCGTTCAACAGTACCGCAAGGCTTAAGGTCACGGTACAGTTTATGTGCGGGTTGCACGACCACAGTATTTAGTATTTCGTCGACACTCTTTGAATAGATCGACCGGCGCTTTGAAGCGGAATTGTATTTTGGAGCGAATATTAAAGCCACTATTGAGATTGAAGGGTGGCGAAATGACGTGAGAATGGCGACCTCGGTGTCGGTGAATGCAGATGGGTCCGTAATGGACAAAGGAGTAGACGCTACGTGCTAACATTAAAAGTTTTCAATATATGTACAATTTGTTATGGCGACCGCTGTAGCCGAGTGGTTAGACGTGTGTACTGCGACTCCGCAGGACCTGCGCTCGATCCTCTGAGAGTATTTCTGTCCTGAAAAGGCTTCTCATAAAACCATTTGCCTTTTGGAGGCGGCGTGAAATTGTTTGTTGCCCCATTTTTTGTATTGACATTAGATGCATACCATAAATTGGAACAGAAGCTCGGTCGAGCGCTTTGCAAAATATTAAGCGCCCAATATTTCCTTTTTGGTTGTTGTTGTTTCCGACAGGGTGGGTGTATGATGTATTTTGGAACGAATTTCCGTCATCCCTTGTCAAATTTGGTTTGGAGACAAACCGGTTTCGGCGTTGTGCTATCTTCAGTGTCATTTTTCGTTCGAGAAAAAGATTTTTTTTTAATAAATTAAATTGATTTCTCTATACGATACCGATGGCTGAGTGAAAACGCCCTTCTCAGCAAATGGTTCAAAAGCCCTATCTCAGCTGCCGATATATTGAATTTATATTGACATACCTAGGGCGTTTTCAGCCAAATTCTGAAACCACCATTATTTTCAAACCGGCAGCCGAGATAGCGCGATCCTCCATTCAGCCGATGAATTGTAGACGAAATCGATATTTTAATTAGAATATTAAATTTTTTCAACTTGAAAGTTAAAAAAACTTGTGTAAGTGTTGTTTATACGTCAAAAGTTAAATCTACCTCTCTCACAGCCATATTTTTTTGTTTTTAATAATCATAAAAAATCGCATAATTACCTTGGAAGGGATATCCAGCGAAATACGGTGTCATATTCAAAGTTGAGACTGTCATTTTGACGTATTCCAGAACTGCGTGTTTGCGACGTAGAAACTGTTTACCAGAGTCACTGGATTTCCAACGTAAGAAGAAAGCTTAGCGCTCAAACGTTTATTCGTAAATTGTTATTCGAAAGCTTGTGGAATTTTGCTTTCAGCTTTTTTTTCACTTTACACTTTTCCAAAAAAAATAATAAGCAGCGATTGTATATTTAAATGTTTCTTCGCGTTTGCTGTCTTTTTTGTTGTAACTTTAGCGCGACGATTAATCAAGCGATTCGTTCGATTTAATTCGTCAAATAGAACACGTCACGTTTGCTGCCCAAATGAGCGTTAATATCGATTATCTTCACTAGATTTTTCAAAACGAACCAACTAACTGGACGAATACGACATTATTATTTTTGTTTGTTCTTAAAGTTTATGTATACTTTGATTTGTTTTTGATAGTCTTTTTTCACTGCAACTACTTCTATATTTGTTTTACCACAGAGAGAGAGAGCCTCCGTTCGCTGGTATGAATATATATTCGCTGAAATCTCTACACCACCAAGTGTGTGACTCGTTCGATTGTCAGCTTGAAACTGATTTTGAAACGGTCAATCGTAACACCAGCACACCTTCTTGAGATGCTCTTGCGTTGAGCGGATAAAAGACGGACGAGAATTGGAAACAGCAACAACGGCCACAAACGTTATGATTGTGTTGGAGTTGAAACAGGTAAGCGCAAGACAAGAAATCAGAAAAACGTGCAGTGTTGTAAGGTCGTGAGCGCGCAAGCGGGTAGAGTGTAACCAAGTGAGAGTGAGTGTGTGAGCGAGCGAGTGAGCAAATGTGTGTGCGCAATTGAATGCGTGGTGTGCAACAAACCACCCCAACAAGTCAACTGCAATGCCAGAATAAAAAAGTAGAAGTAGCAAAAACAAAAGCAAACTCTGAAATGCATTCGTTGCGCAGCGCTCAGAGTTGTTGCAGTTGTTGTTGCGCCTGTGTACTCTATGTACACATGTAAACGATCGTTGCATGCACCCACCCATTTCATAGTGGCGCTCTCGCCGTCGAGGGTGTGTGTGTGCGCTTAAAATTACATTTCTCGCTTGTATGGAATTGTGTACATGTGTGTGTGTGTGAAACGCTACAAAAACAAACACTCACCGGCCAATTGGTGCGGTCTGAAGGCCAAGCATTTGTTTTTGCTCACATACAGTTAGGTGAAAAAGAGCGCGCACGATCGCTACTGGGCTGGCGCGCTCCTCGCACCACAATGGCTGCTCTGCCATGGAAATTTCAATACCGATCCGGCTCATAAGCCACGCCCCATTTTTAGTTTTTTTTTCTATATACTGTACATACAATGTGTTTTTGTTGTTTTCTTAGTTGTGTGTAGTATATATGTATCTACATAGATAGCATAAGTGTTAGCTCCTTCATTGCCAGACTTACTGGTGGCAGCTGTCTTGCGTTTTTGTTGCTCTGATTTTTATTTATTTTTTTTATTTAACTTTTCCAACAAAAAAATTGTTGTTGCTGCTGCTCGTTGAAAAATGGGTGGCGTAAAAAAGGAATGCCTGCGCATTTGCATATGCCGGCAAATCAAGTTTGCGCAAATAAAACTAGTAGGTACAAAAGCATTGCTCTATTCTGCTACAAACATCGATACCTACTCGTACATACAACATATGTATTTACATTGATGCCCGCATACAACCCACACTCCGCGCCACCTCACTCATATTATTGTCGATCGCAAGCAGAGAGCAGTGGAAATTGAGAAAATCTTTTTCAGCAAATTTGCTACAGTTGCTTAACGTTTTGCCCGTTCTTTTGATGTTAAGCCGCCAATATTTTGATTTAATTTTAATATTCCATTTTGCTGTTATTTATCGCCTCATTGCTGGCGTCTGTGTAACGTTCGTATTCTATTGCTTTTCCTCTTTTCCCTTGCTATCGATATGAAATATTGTAATCTATTCTGATTAGCTACTGCCGCGCAATGGATATGCCGCAGCACCGCTAACTTGGTTAACTAGTAATTGTGGCGATTGATTTCATAAAGAGGCTCCTTGGGAAATCCTCACGGATGTTAAGCAGGTTTTGTTTGGACTGCATTGGTTTACATATTAGTCACAAGACTTTTGGAAGCGCGTGAAATTCAATTCAAGATCATATTCAAAGTTTGTCCTAGAAAAGCTGTTGTTGCTCAGGCTATGTAGCATAAGATGAAGCAAGCAACCGCAACGTTTTAAAAACTAAATTTATGAAAAGAGAAGCTTACTTCTTTTTAATGCATTTAAACACAATTTGTGCAGAAAACATAAATAGGAAATATTTGGGCGTTAAAGAGCTCAGTTGTTCGCTGCATAACCAATTTTATCAAAGGCTAAACTGATTTTTTTGCCTTATTGCCTATAGTTGGACTTACTTTCGCCAGCCTAGCCGTTTGAACCAAGGTTTTAAATTCACTGTAGTACTCTTTAAAGAAAGCTCTTTTCGCTGATAGAATTTGCTGCTTAGATTTTCTTTGCGTGCAACGATAGCATTCTAAATCGATCTCAGTATTAATTTTACCAGGTTCCCTGTCCCCATACAATACACCTTTTTTCATGGTATACGTTCCTCGTCTTTTTTTCTGGATTCTTTATCTGATTTGATATTGTTTGCACATAGATATATGCAAATCGCATTGATTATATGTCTTTATGCAAAATATTTTAGGAGTGCATTGCGGTATAGTCGTTGTGCTGGGTATGTAGTCACAGTTGCACGGCTACACTCAATCCCGACTCTTGCGTCCTCGTTCGCACACTCTGTGAAACGTGAGCAACCCATGTGCAAGATGCGGTAACCAACCCGACTGGAACCTTGGGTCACGGCAGAAAGAGAGGGAGCTTCGGTGGGACCATTCCGACTTATTCGGTTTAAGGGCTCAAAAAATATGTCCAATGAAAATACCAAAAATGCCTCGGATAACTGCATCCCCACACGTTGACGACCCCCGCAAACGGAACGAGGACTATGAAATACGGATATGCACCTGGAATATCCAGACCCTCTATAGGGAAGGTGCCTCTATCCAACTGCCGGATTTCATCACGAAATACCAGACTGACATCACCGCAGTTCAGAAAATGCGACGGACGGGGCATGGCTGCAAATCATTTGCAGCATGCGACGTTTACTATAGCTGCCATGAGACGGCGCACAAATTTGGTGTCGGTTTTGTGGTTGCGCGGAGACTCCGACACTTTGTCTTCCGGTTCACGCCCGTCAGTGAGCGAATCGCCTCAATCCGCATAAAGGCGAAATTTAATAGCATCAGCCTAATTTGTGTGCCCGCCCCGACGGAAGAGAAGGACGATGAGACTAAGAAGGTTTTCAATGAGCGTCTAGGAGAAGCGTATGAGCGCTGCCTCCGATGCGATGGTAAAATCGTGCTTGGCGACTTTAACGCCATGGTGGGCAAAGAAGGCATATTTGGTCCAACAGTCGGAAAATTCCGCTTCATGACAACACCTCCAACAACGGAGGGAGGCAGATCGACTTCGCCGCAGCACGGAACATGGTAGTCAGTAGTACAAGACACAAGCATCGAAACCAGGGTTGTTGCGAATATTCGCATTCGCATTCGCAACCGCGGAGCTTCCGCATTAATTTTAACATTCGCATTCGCTTTCGCATTCGCAAAAATCAATGCGGATCTTTTGCGAATGCGAATATTGAAGGGACAGGAAATTACAGTTATTTTTTTTACGAGTTAAACTTGGCCAAATATTTTTTATTCCCGACTGAAAGTCCTTTCCGGACAATAATCAAACCGCTTATCCAAATTAAACAAGCTTGGTATCAAATGAAAGAGGACTTAAATAGCTATGTCTATAGAAATATCTAAACGAGCAAAGCCACCTATTGGAAAATATTTCAATAAAAAATGTTAATTAATTACCATAGAACAAACCTTTGGTCAGGTATATGAATTTCTTTAGTATTAAATGATATAAAAAATAAAAATAAATAGAGGCGGTAACCTTCGTTCGTTATTTCTGTTTAAAAGCTATTTCAGTCCTCTTTCACATGATATTTAATTTGGTTAATTTTGATAAGCTGTTTGTTTATTATCCAGAAAAACTTTTATTTCGGAATAAAGAATATTAGGCCAAGTTTAACTGGTAAAAAATAACTGCTATTTTCGGTCCCTGGAATATTGTGCAAGTGCACTGATAAAACGTATATCTGGCCAGTCACAGAAGAAAGGATTAAAAATGAATTACAAAAACTAGAATCGAAAAACGCTTTTGACGTTACAGGTTCTCCAAATTCAGAAACAACTAAAAGAATGAGAATGAAAAATTCTTTGGAAAACAACGGTATTTAAACAACGATCTTGCCATGATATTCGATTGTGAAGATGAAAGTCAG